GAGTGTCCCACAAGAGTGTCCCACAAGAGTGTCCTATAAGAGTGTCCTACAAGAGTGTCCCACAAGAGTGTCCCACAACAGTTTCCTACAAGAGTGTCCCACAAGACTGTCCCACAAGAGTGTCCTACAAGAGTGTCTCACAAGAGTTTCCCACAAGAGTGTCCTACAAGAGTGTCCCACAAGAGTGTCCTACAAGAGTGTCCCACAAGAGTGTCCCACAAGAGTGTCCTATAAGAGTGTCCCACAAGAGTGTCCCACAAGAGTGTCCTACAAGAGTGTCATTTGGACATATGTAGTTTTTCGATCGTGTTTGCATTCGGGTTCGTGGGTTCCATCTTGTTTATAGAGGGTCTCCAGTTTGTTTGAAGGGGGGGGAGGGGAGCCCCTATTTACCAATCAGGATCCAACATTACACGGAATGCGCTGGATCCTCCTTTTCAGATCATCCAAAACCCCGACGTGCCTCGGCACGTCATGGCACATCCGGTCACGTCCCGGTCTCGTCTTCGCTCAGCACAGGACTTCGCCTGGTACCTTCTGATCCTGGGCGAAATCAGTAGGCAGGGACGGCAGGGCGCGACATGTGCAGCAGCAATTGCAGGGGGTTTGAGCACTGCATGGGTTCGGAGACGAGGCCGCCATGAGGCCGCCGTTCGTGAAAAAAAACTTTTCTGAGTGATGTCAGCAAACGGTCGTTTGGACTCAAAAGAGGCATTTTGCGAAAGCATGACAGAACACTTTTGGAGAGAAATTTTTGAGTAGACACCCCTTATAGGCGGCACAATCCCTTGAAACTTGGATTTGGATTGGACTTCTATCGAAGATCCTTGGGCCCTTAGCCCCCACATCGCGTAGGAACATGGACTCCTCCTATGCTGCCACTGTGGCGGAGCAGTTCGTGGACATTTGTGTCAGAGTGCCCCAGGCGTGGTGGAGGGACCAGCTCTTCGCGTGGTTCGGTTTGCTGGTGAATTGTGGATGGTTCATGGTTCATTTGGGGGTGCAATGAATTTGTTTGTTGAGATGAGATGCAGGGGTTTATGAGTCCGAACCAATCGGTTGTGAACCTTCCGACCTTTGACCTGTGGGGGGAGTCAGGGTCAGAGTGATTCAAAGTAGGATCAGCGGGGAGATTCTTAAGCACAGTATGGACACTGGTGTGATGTCATTCAAAAAGTGCATCCAATCACAATCCTTTGAAACCTTTGTCTTTCAAGACCTTTAACCCAAAGGTTGACCTGGTGTTGTAATGTAAAATCCTTAGTAAACCAATGATTGCTCGGAAACCATCAAATCAATGGTGAGCAAGGACTTTTGGGGGACAAGGACACCTGTTGGGGCGGCCACTCCGCCACTGGGATTCAAAGTGACCCAGACCCGCTGGTTCCCCTCCAGTGACCAGCTCCTTCGGTCGGGCCTCGCAAGCACGACCTTCACCAACCAGGGCGGTCAAGTGACCAGTCACGAACTGAAGAGCCAGGAGCTATGAGACTCTGACCCACTAACACATCCAACACGAAAGTAGAAAATCTAAACTCCCGGAAAAAAAAAAAACTTGCTCCACGAACAGGCTAGTCTAACTCCACGTCCATTTTTAGAGCGTGTGTGGAGTGACGTATGTCCGTCTGTCCCCCCACGCGCATGAGAGCCTCAGCGTCCCCCATGCGGCGTCAGATGCGGCGCCAGGTGCGGCCCTATGCCGTCACACTGGCCTTGGGTCTCCTGGACACGCCCGTTTCAACGCCCAGGGGCCACACGGTCACGGTCACGGGGGCATTGTGCGACGGTGAGTAGGAGGTCGTGTAGACGGATGTGTAGGATCTGAGAGGCACACTCTGTGTGTGTGCCATGTCTGACCTACTTTGGGGATGTTTTTGTTAAAGGTATCATGGTAGGCATACCCTGCTCCACCTTTTGGGTTTGAGAGGTTGTTCGCCGAGGTACGGCGAAGTTGAGGTACCCGTCTGCAGCTGCGTCTCCAAGCAGGTCAGTGTTTCCAGATGCCGTTGAATGAACTCCCCCAGCAGTCTGTTTTTCCACGCTCATGTGAGTCAACCCGAGGCTGTCAGTGAGTCTTCTAGAGTTGATTGACTCAGGCTCTCTGAAATAATGATGAAGTGTTGAGAAATGTCGGCAAAAAGCTCTAGAAAGAGAGGTGAGCAGGGAAATGTTGCAGGTCTGGTTTCAGAAGTTCACCAAGCCAGGTTCCGAAACAGGGTGGTAAATTGGCGAACTGGCGTTGACAGCGGGCCATTTACCACTGCACAAGGCTTCCTGGAGGGAGCTCGTGGAGGCCAGGAACGATGATGAAGGGGGGGAATCTGGACGAGTGCTTGAGATATCAGATGCCATCGGGGGAGGGAGAGAAGTCAGAGAAACGAGATTCAGGCGGCTAAGCAGAAAGCAAAGCAGGCAATCATTGACCCGTTTGGGCTCCAGTTGTACCTCCTCAGAAGGTATGACTGGACCCTCCTGGCACCCACCGCAAACCTTCTGAGTCTCGGTACGACTGGAGCCCAAAACGGGTGATGGATGAAGATCCATCACCCGAAAGCACCATTCCGGTGCTCCACAACGGTGCTTACTATAACCTCTGAAGCTAACGGCTAACTGGACATGCAGAGCAACTCGAGTTGAGCTTTTCAGAGGGTGCTCTCACAACGACGGTGAGAAGAGTGCCTATGGCTCGAAGGTGACACATGCACTGACGTACATTTCTTTGCCATCCGTGATCCATGCAGGTTGAATGTGACACTGGCCAGGCGGCCAGGGGGTCTTAGAGCTCTAAGGGCCTGTGGCCAAGAGCTTCCATGCTTTGGCCGTGGCTCCGCATCGCATCGCGGTGGCTTCGCATCCAGCGGGTCGTTGGACGCTGCTCGGCATCAGACCGATCGACCACGAGGTCGCCTGCATGCAGCCTGGTTGCTCAAGGCGAGCTTGCCAGCCAGGCATTTGCTCAAGGGCCACCCGAGTGGTCAAAATAGGATCAAAATAGGGGGACCCTGTTTCTTTTTCCACTGAACAGGTACAGAATGCCAGACATGATCAACCTACGTAAGTGGAAACCGAGCTCCAGATTTTGACAACCTGCCAGGTCTGTAAGGATCGTCTTGATATGTTTCATCTCGGGGAGGTTTCTCAGAAGATTTGCCTGGTCCGCTGTGAAGGGGGGCCAGGCCGGACCGTATCTACCAGTATGGACACATCACTTTGTCACCGACCTCAGAGTCCATGCAACACCTGCAGAATCCTGCAGACAGGTTTTTGCTCAAGATGTTCTTGCAACATAACCTCAAAGCTGCTGTTCCTGCTGCTGCTGCTGCTGCTGCTGGATGAGCTCCTCGTTGACCTTCGCAAAGCTGCATTGAATTTTACATAATTCCCTCCAAATAGTTCCTGCACCTGCCTGCGCCGCATTGTGCTGGCTCTTCTTTGTGCTGTTTCAATCCCATAGTCTGACACTCGTGCTCCATCTTCATCACAGGGGGGTCTCGTTCTGGTGTGATGATTCATGTTGTTCCCTTACAACATATAAAACAATGATCCAAAACATGAACTTGGAATCGCCAATCACTTGGGCCAAGATAGGTCGAACCGGTCAAACATGTTCCGGCCACCGACGCCGAGGCCGAAGCTGAACGGGACTCCATCTCCGTGTGCACGTGACGCCCACGAATTGGTGGACGGGTTTTTGGCGTTAGGGTTCCGACGTCGCGGGTTCCGACAGAAGACCAACCCGATGGCTTTGAATCCGGGCCCGGTTTTCATGGCAGCGGCTTTGATGTCCGGCCATGAAGCCACAGTCCCGGGCCCGGATGCTCCAGCCGAACGGTTCGGGACCCGGATGTTTGGAGGGGTTTGGGGGTTCGTTGGCTCTTCCGTTCGGGTGTTTGACTGGCGGATGCTAGCAGGTATGCCTAGTCGAATTCTTGGAAAGTGCAGAGAGTCACGAGGCAAACTGAGTTTGATCACGAGTAGATCTACCGGAATCTCCATGTGGTCAATCTGAACAACACCTCCAACATCATGTCTATTCCTGTATGGCAGAGGCAAACTTTTGGTAAAAAATATGAAGTGTTCCTGGAATGTCGAGCTTTCGCTTCCTTCAGAACAGCTGCTCATGACATGGTCGTCAGCACATTCCGGAAAAGATCTCCTAGGCCCGGATCACCTGGACCCACTGGGACTTGAAACCTTGGGGGGTCACACGACGGAGTCCGACCCATTGGCGAAAAACGGGCCAACCATGAGTCACCTTCGGTGGATCCAGGCAAAGCACTGCAATTGGCACACCTTCTGTGGGCTCCTGGCCCATGTTGGTTTTGATTGATGTGTTCCCTTCTCGCGGGGTCCAAGGAAGGCCATTAGCAAATCTCCACCTGGCTTAAACACCCATCGTGTCCAAGATCGTCCAAGAGAGTGGTCATCGACCATGAGGCTGGAATAGTTACCTACATTGGGGTCATTTTCATGGGGCAAATTTGTAGGTATAACTATACTCCATGGTCCCGTGGATGCTTTGGCATAGATCACGCAACAAAATGCTTCCCCATTCGCCCACTTCGCTCTTCTTCCCGCTCTCCACGTCTGTTCGCTCGCCCCGCCTCCTGCTCCGCTGCTCCGCTGCTCCGCTCGCCAGGCCGATGGTGGCGGCGTGCGCGTGGCTCCTGGGCGAGTACAGTGGAGACCTCGAAAAGCCCAGCGAGGCGCGCGGCCGCGCACGACGCGCGGAGCCCTCGTCCCCCGTTGAAAGGACGAAGGTGACGCGCCAGTGACGCGCCAGTGACGCGCCAGTGATGCGAACGATGCGAATGCTGAGGGATGTGGATTCATTTGGCGAGTGAAGGAGGAAGAAGAGTCAGGGATCAGGAATAGGGTGAAAACGAAAATCACATAAGGAAGCGAGAAACCATGTCTGAGTGCACCAGGTGCTCATCCAATCGGTTTTTGGGAAAGAACTGCATATATGCACACAATACGTATACTTGAACCACCATGAAGCATGACAGCCTTTGGGAAAACAAGTATAAATTACAGCGGCATAGACCCCAGATAGCGGGTGTATCGGTTTAAAGGACATGCCACGGACGGCTGTCACCGCAGCACGCAGCATCAGACCAGTCCACCAACATGCACAACATCTACCAGCTGAATGCGCCCGCCCAGATGTAAAACTGCAAGATCGGCAAGGACCAGCCAAAGCTGCCCACACAACATGATGATCATCACTGCGCAACACGGTGTCACTCACAATGAGACAGCAATGACATGATGCCATCCCTGGCATGACATGATGTCATTCAGGGCGTGACATGATGTCATTCCTGGTATGACCTGATGCCATCCCTGGCGTGACCTGATGTCACCCTGGCATGACATGGCTTCATTCTGGGCATGACATGATGTCATTCCATGACGCAAAACGAAACGCCGATCCAGAGCCGGCGCCTGCACCAGCATCAGCACGGCAGCAGCACCTGCAAAACCAAAACGCCGATCCAGTGCCACACCATTGAGAAGTTGGAACCCTTGTAGCCTGCAACTATCTGGGGACTAAAGATATTGTGTAAAACATGTTGAAAAGTTTGGGGAGAAAAGAGAAAACCACGTAACGATCACGAGACAGAGCAATATGTAAAACAATCACACACACGATAGTTTTGTTTTATTGCATGTTGGTCTCCGTGAGCTGTACATGTCTTCCTTGCCTAGAAACACCCGCGCGTATACGAGTTGGGTGGAAGCTTCGTCCAGAACCAATCCCCAAACGCAAAACCCCAAGGCTATATGATACTATATGTCAAGGATCTTGGCTGTCTTTTGGGCAATCTCTGTTTCTTTTGTGTCCAACACCTCGAGATTCAATTGATATGCCATTAAAAACACAAGATGGAGCCCACGAACCCGAATGCAAACACGTTCGAAAAGCTACATATGTCCAAATGACACTCTTGTAGGACACTCTTGTGGGACACTCTTCTGGGACACTCTTGTAGGATACTCTTGTGGGTCACTCTTGTAGGACACTCTTGTGGAACACTCTTACAGGACACTCTTGTAGGACACTCCTGAAAGGCACTCTTGTGGGACACTCTTGTAGGACACTCTCGTGGGACACTCTTGTAGGACACTCTTGTCGGGCACTCTTATGGGACACTC